TCCTCCTCCTCCTCCTCCTCCTCTTCTCCTCCTTCTCCTCCTCCTCCCCCTTCTCCTCCTCCTCTTCTTCTAATTCTTCTTCTTCTTCTCCTCTTCTACTTCTCCTTCTCCCTCTCCTCCTCTTCTTCTACTTCTCCTCCTCCTCTCCTCCTCCTCCTCTTCTCCTCCTTCTTCCTCCTCCTCTTCTTCTCCTCCTCCTCCTCCTCCCTTTCTTCTCCTCCTCTTCTCCTAAAATCTTGGCCACCCACAGAGAAAACAGGAGTCTGACACACTTGAGGTGTTCCCCAATTATGCCGGGGAAAGGATGCTGTATATTAATCAGAAGGGTGAGAACTGCCCTCCCCCCGCCCCCATGGCTTGATGAAGACCACGTTTCCTCCCAGATCCACAGAGCGGTAGGAAATTAATCCCCTCCTCTCCTCCTCTTCCTCCTCCTCTTCTCCTAAAATCTTGGCCACCCGCAGAGAAAACAGGAGTCTGACACACTCGAGGTGTTCCCCAATTATGCCGGGAAAGGATGCTGTAAATTAATCAGAAGGGTGAGAAGTGCCCCCCCCCGCCCCCGTGGCTTGATGAAGACCACGTTTCCTCCCAGATCCACAGGGCGGTAGGAAATTAATCCGCCCAGGCAGAGAATTCCCAAATTGTTCCCCTGAGACTCTCTGGGGGTCCCCAGCTTGCTGACCAACAGGGCAGTCAAATGGAGCCACCCACAAGCCAAGGCCCAGCTCCGCTTTGTCCTCAGAGTCTCTCAAAACCAAGGGCCAAGCTATGCCTTACGTTTGCCACGTGGTCAGCTGTGGGGACTTGCAGCAGGAAAAAAACTCTAGGTGTTCTCCGCGGGAGTGTTCTGGGATTCTGGGGGCCAGGTCTTTTCCTGGGACCCACAAAGAGAGGGGAAGAAAAACTAAACTGACCAAGCAAAAAACCTCCAAGGGAAGTTTAGAAAAGTTTACTAAAGGGCAGAAAGTTAAAAACATCAATAGGTAGAGACACAACTTGCTGTGTTCCCTCTAAGCTGAGTTAGTGTGAGCTCGCTCGCAGTTCTTTGGCCTCTGGCTCACACATTTTGGTCTTCGCTCAGGAAGGAGGGGCTCCAGAGCAAACTAATTTATGCAGGAGCCAGATCGCTCGCTCACAACTTTAATGCCAGTGGCTCACAAAGTGGAGTTTTTGCTCGTGAGACTCCACAGCTTAGAGGGAGCCCTGGACGCAAGTGGGCGTGTTTATTTCCAAAATATATAAAAACCTCGTCGGAGCCCAAAGAAAGCCTCATAAAATAATCAAAGCGACCAATGCACAAAAACAACCATATATGACCTGACACATTTCACCCCACAAGAGCCTTCCCCAAGGTCAAACAGTACAGAATACAACAGGCCACAAAGCCCCCGTTACACTTGTAAGCAGTGTTCCCTCTAAGCTGAGTTAGTGTGAGCTAGCTCAGTTTTTTAGCCTTCGGCTCACCCATTTTTGTCTCAGCTCAGGAAGGAGGGCTCCAGAGCAGACTGATTTACGCAGCAGCCAAATCGCTCGCTCACAACTTTAATGCCGGTAGCTCGCAAAGTAGAATTTTTGCTCACGAGACTCCACAGCTTCGAGGGAGCATTGCTTGTAAGGCAGTAAACAATTTATATAGGACCAAAATTGCAATGTCCCAATCTGGAATTGAATGTCACCCAAAAAAAAAACTGGTTTTTTTCATGGGGCCACAAATATATCTGGCCTTGTGTCAGAAGCAATTACATATATTGTACATAGTAATATTGTCAATATGTACCTTCCAGTTTTGGTCCTAAGAATACTAGTAAAATCGCCAATGTAACATCAATGTAACCTACAAGGTTTTGATATGTTTTTGAAATGAACACACGTACTTTTGTCTATACCAATGCTCCCTCTAAACTGTGGAGTTTTGTGAGCAAAAATTCTACTTTGTGAGCTACTGGCATTGAAGTTGTGAGTGACCCATTTGGCTGTTGCATAAATTAGTTTGCTCTGGAGCCCTCCTTCCTGAGCTAAGACAAAAAAATATGTGAGTTGGAGGCTAAAAAACTGTGAGCCAGCTCACACTAACTCAGCTTAGAGGGAACACTGGTCTATACCCATTGATGTATTTTACTTTTGGTCCTTTCCTGGGAGCCCCAGTTCCCTTTAGTTCTTGAATTAGTTGGGTGGAGACCAATAAGGGGCTGTGGATCTAGTGGAGGGAGGGGGGTTGTTGTTGAGCAAAACTCTATTTATTCCATTACACACTTTCAAGACAGAAGACACTCGGCAGCATTTCAAGATTCAACACAGACTATTTCAACACAAACCCAATACTTAAAACAGCGCACTTCCGTACAACTCAGAACGTTCCAGACAAGGCACCAAGGTCTCACACAGAGCCCTCGATGGCCAGCCCCGAGGGGTCGAATCTTTAACCATTTCTACCCTCTGGCCTATTGGCTCAATAGAATGGCTGATACAGAGTGGGGGGAGGGGGTTGAGTGTTTAGTCTGCAGGGAAATGTGCATTTTGGAGCTAAGATCCTGCACAATTTGGAATACGGTGCGGGTCGACGTGAAAGTTTTATCACCGGCGTCAACTGGTACCCATCACTTCCCACCAATATCCACTAGAGGGAGCCGTTTGTTCATAGCAGGCAGACAGAAAGGGACTGTGATTTCCTTCGCCAGAGGTGTAGGAGGCCGAAAAACCGAGTCCTTGCATTGTGTGTGTGGGGGGGGGGGGGGGTTTGGCCTTTTTCCTTCTTACTTGCCTAGGGGGGCTGAGGAGCTCACGCATCCCCTCACCACTACCAGGCGAAAGGATGCCAGCCTCCAGGTGGGGCCTGGGGACCCTGAAGAATCAGAGCTGTAGCCAGGATTTTTGACTTTGGGGGCCGCTCTGGGACTCCTTCGGGTGGTGAAGGGCAGGGTATAAATCCAATCTCTTCTTCTAAGAATTAAAATTTCCTAAACCACTGAGAGGGAGAGGTCAGCCAGCACCAGGTCTTGAGGCTTTTATAGGGCCAGTGTAACCCCACTGGTCCCTCGAGATCAGCTCAGCGTCTGAAGAAGAAGAGATTGGATTTATACCCCGCCCTTCACTCGCCGTCTCAGAGGGGCTTACAATCTCCTTTCCCTTCCCCTCCCCACAGCAGACACCCTGCGAGGCAGGTGGGGCTGAGAGAGCTCTTTGAGGGTTGCTCGAGAGAACAGCTCCGAGAGAACTTGTGACGGACCCCAGGTCACACCAGCAGCTGCATGTGGAGAAGCGGGGAATCAAACCCAGTTCTCCCAGATTAGAGTCCGCCACTCTTAACCCGGACACTAAACTGGCTCTCAACTACTGATTCAGTGAGGTGCAGTACCTCTCTTTGGCCTGTAGGGGTGGCCAAGCGCAATCACTTCCTCTTCCTGTGCCCTGGCGGTGGTTCAAAGTGTTCGTTCGTTAATTAATTAATTAATTAATTCATTCATTCCCCGCCTTCATCCCCAACGGGGACTCAATGTTCTCCATTTTATCCTCGGTTAGACGTAGGGAGTATGACTTGCCTAAGGTCACCCAGCAAGCTCTCACGGCCCAAGTGGGGATTCGAACTCGGGTGTCCCAGATACCAGTCTGATACTCTTCCCCGCACTACCCACTTTGAGACGCCGACCCCCCCCAAGTACCTAATGCCATACGGGCTGTCAGAAAGCACGACTACAGCAAGACCCAGGTGTGCGAAAGCTGCCACACCTGATCCCTTCGCGAGTCTGAGACGAGTCACGCTGGCCACAGCCGATGGGGCCGCCAACCCCTCGCCTCTGCATTGCGCGCCACTGTAGTGTCTGAAGGGCAGATGATGTGCTTGTAAAGACACAGCGGATGCGCCCAAGGGTTAAGATTTTTACTGGCAGGAGGTGATGAGACCAGGCAGGAGGGGGTGAGAAAGACCTTGACCTGAGACCCTGACTCAGTGGCAGAGCCTCTGCTGGGCATGCAGGAGGTCCCAGGTTCAATCCCCGGCATCTCCAGTTAGAAGGACCAGGCAGGAGGGGATGGGGAAGACCTTGACCTGAGACCCTGACTCAGTGGCAGAGCCTCTGCTGGGCATGCAGGAGGTCCCAGGTTCAATCCCCGGCATCTCCAGTTAGAAGGACCAGGCAGGAGGGGATGGGGAAGACCTTGACCTGAGACCCTGACTCAGTGGCAGAGCCTCTGCTGGGCATGCAGGAGGTCCCAGGTTCAATCCCCGGCATCTCCAGTTAGAAGGACCAGGCAGGAGGGGATGGGGAAGACCTTGACCTGAGACCCTGACTCAGTGGCAGAGCCTCTGCTGGGCATGCAGGAGGTCCCAGGTTCAATCCCCGGCATCTCCAGTTAGAAGGACCAGGCAGGAGGGGATGGGGAAGACCTTGACCTGAGACCCTGACTCAGTGGCAGAGCCTCTGCTGGGCATGCAGGAGGTCCCAGGTTCAATCCCCGGCATCTCCAGTTAGAAGGACCAGGCAGGAGGTGATGGGAAAGACCTGGACCTGAGACCCTGGCTCAGTGGCAGAGCCCCTGCTGGGCATGCAGGACGTCTCAGGTTCAGTCCTCGGCATCTCCAGTTGAAAGGACCAGGCAGGAGGTGATGGGAAAGACCTTGACCTGAGACCCTGGCTCAGTGGCAGAGCCTCTGCTTGGCATGCAGAAGGTCCCAGGTTCAGTCCCCGGCATCTCCAGTTAAAAGGACCAATCAGGAGGGGATGAGAAAGACCTTGACCTGAGTGGACAAGACTTTGATGGTGTTCTCGCAGCTACCAGTTGTCCTCTTAATCTGCCGTCCTCCTTACAGGTTGGGACTGGGACACAACAACATCCGCATGATCGAGAACGGCAGCCTCTCCTTCCTGCCCATCCTACGCGAGTTGCATCTGGACCACAACAAGCTGTCCCGAGTCCCTTCCGGACTGCCTGACCTGAGGTTCCTACAGGTACGGGGGATTTGGGGGGAGAGAAGAGCGGCCAGACAAAAGCAGGGATGACCCCTCTTTTTTACATGGCGAGAAGCTGGAGAGAATGTAGTGATGGCCACAGGAATAAACGGCTTTAAAAAGGGGATTAGATATTCATGGAGGATCAGTCTAACAGCGGCTACTAGTTCTGCTGGCTGAGGGGAACCTCCACATTCAGAGGCACTGATCCTCTGAATCCAGAGCCAGGCGGCAATATCAGGGGGAAGGCCTCGGCCTCTCTGCCCTGTTGCTGGCCCTCCAGAGGAACTGGCTGGCCCCTGAGTGAGACGGGATGCTGGACTAGAGGGACCCTCACTGATCTTACCAGCAGGGCTCTTCCAGTGTCCTTCTCAGGGGAAGGCCTCGGCCTCTCTGCCCTGTTGCTGGCCCTCCAGAGGGACTGGCTGGCCCCTGTGTGAGATGGGAGGCTGGACTAGAGGGACCCTCCCTGGTCTGACCCAGCAGGGCTCTTCTGATGCTCTTATCAGGGGAAGGCCTCGGCCTCCCTGCCCTGTTGCTGGCCCTCCAGAGGAACTGGTTGGCCCCTGAGTGAGATGGGATGCTGGACTAGAGGGACCCTCCCTGGTCTGATCCAGGAGGGCTCTTCTGAGGTTCTTATGAGAGATTGGCCAGTTGGTGGAGTGCAGATTCATAATGGATGCTGCCATGTTGGGGTTTTCCTTTGGCACAAGGGACGCTGGGATGGTTTGGGTGCCCTGGCTCTCTCCCCCTTTTTCTGCCACTGCTCCAACACCTACCACATTTCAGGGCCAGTCCACGAAAGCTGGAACTGAATCCTCGGTACTGCTGATCTAAAGCCAACAATACAGTTTTGCCAGGGGTCGTTTCGTAGAAAAAGAGCTAGGGGAACTCATTAGCATAACTCATTAGCATATGCCACACCCCCTGACATCATAAGGCCCGGCAGTGGACCTGCAAGGCCGGCAGGAGTGCGAGGAAGTCCCGCCAAGGCCCTCCCTGGCCCCAGGCAGGCAGGGGTGGGGAGAGGCGGGGAGGAAGCAACTTCCCCTCCCTCTTCTCCTGCCTCCTCCTGGCTGAATGAGGGCCGGAAGCGGGGCGGTCGGAAGCAGGGGGCGGGGCTTCATCATGTGCCCCGCCCCCACACACCTCACCCGGGGGAACTGCGTTCCCCTGCGTTCCCCCCCCGAAATGACCCCTGAGTTTGGCTATAATTTATAAGCAAAATGGATTACTGAGCATGGCTGTATACATATTCCACAGATCTATGAAGACAAGCGTGGAATTGGATATTTGGTATTCATCATTTTCCTGGCGCTTTGGAAATGTATATCCAGTTCTCTAGTCCAAAAATAATCCCATCAGTTGCTTCCATGCAAGCTGTTTCGTCTGGAATGGACATCGTCCATGTACTTGTTTTTTGACCATTATTACCCTGTTGCATTCTGGTGTTTTCCTTGTGACCCTTCCTCCTTTTTTCAGACTTGATTTGTGACAATTAAAAAAAAAACCCTCAAAGTGCAGTCGTGGTGTTCCTATCTGCTCCGTCTGCATTGGGGAAGCACTGTCAAGGGTTCTCTGGGCTATTGTGCCTTTAAATTTTGTTTTATTAGCCACTTCTGTTTCTTTGCTTAATTGCACTTTTTATGACTGCCTTTTTCTTAGCAGATACTTTAGGATTGCCACCTCTGGCTTGGGAGATGCCAGGAGATTTGGGGGGGGGGGGGGAGCCTGGAGAGGGGGTTTGGAGAAGGGAGGGACCACAGCAGGGTATGATGTCACAGAGTCCCCCCCTCCAAAGCAGCCATTTTCTCCAGGGGACTGGATCTTGGTCATCTGGAGATCGATTGTAATAACGGGACATCTCCAGGTACCCAATGGAGGTTGACAGCTACATTTATTACTGCTTTTGTTTTAGCAGCACAGGCAATTACTCATTCATTTACCCTTTTATTTTTTTATTACCGTAATTGCATGACTGTTAAGGATCAGTTGAGGAACTCCTAAACAGAAGGTAATTAAGGTCACCTAAACAGGAGATAATTAAGGATTGGATCCAGACTATTTTATTTTATTTTATTTGTGGCTTAGCTCAGTGTGGCTTAGAGAATATACACATATGTGTGTGTGTGTGTGTGTGTATACACACACAACAAGATATGTTAAAACACAGAAAATTGAGTTAAAATCCCAACATATAAAATTTAGGTGTTAAAAAACATAAATATTAATAGACAAAGTATTAATAAAAGATGGCCACCTGGTGGAAGAGCTCCATCTTACAGGCCCTGCGGAACTGCGCTAGGTCCCGCAGGGTCCTGGTGTCATCTGGGAGCTCATTCCACCAGTAAGGGGCCGCCACAGAAAAGGCCCTGGCCCTTGCCGCAGCTAGCCTGGCTTCTAGAGGTGCCACTGGCCTTGAATCCAGCTCTGATATTTTATGGGGTACAGCACTGGCATTCTGCTTTCCAGTTACAGTCCCCCTCTCTACCCCGTTCTCCTTCCTCCTGGCAGGTCGTGTACCTTCACTCCAACAACATCACCAAGATCGGCGTGAACGACTTCTGCCCCATCGGCTTCGGTGTCAAGCGGGCCTCCTACCACGGCATCAGCCTCTTCGGCAACCCCGTGCCTTACTGGGAAGTCCAACCCGCCACCTTCCGCTGCGCCACGGACCGTCTGGCCATCCAGTTCGGAAACTACAAAAAATAAATCAGAAGGGGGTTGTGGGGAGGGGAGGGGAGGGGAGGGAGGGACAAACAGGAAGCCAACGAGGAAACTGGTGGAGAAGGGGAGGGGATAGGGAAGCAGGGACCATTCTGGGAGTGGAGGTGGCTGGGGGGGGTGTATCTAGGGAGGACCCAAAGGCAGAAGGTGTAATCTGGTAAAGTCAGGCTACTGCGTCTGTAGCTGTATTTAAGCACTCTGCTAATTAGCGGGAACTGGACTAACTACACCAGTTAACCCCCAACAGGTTATGGGCCCAGCCGAAGAAATCCACAGGGGTGGATGGGAAATATCAGGCCGGTCAGAGCGGAGGTTGTTCCCAGGAATGTCAAAGACAGAGCAAATTAATGGAGGGAACGAGCCACAGATATTGCCACGGGGACCGATTTGTCAGCCAGCCTAGGCAGCATTGAAAACAAATTGTGATAGGAAAACCAGCCGCCAGTGTGATTTGTCCGGAAGGGTTTGCCAGTGCCGTACTTGGTGAAGAGGGCAGAAGACTCCGGGGTGCACACCTAGAACCGTGCAACTCAATTGGCCTGTAGGGTCAGGAAGGGCAAGGAGGCCTCGGGGCTAGAGCACCAGGAAGTGCTAGGAGGATCTTTGCCATCCAAAGCTGCCGTGGTGGGACATCGGATACCAGAAGGACACCTCCACCAATTATACAGAGGTGCAGTTGAGCCCATGCTCCTGGTTGGAGCCACGTGCAACCTATTACACACGAAATGACCACACAAGGGTACATTTCCCAGCCACGCATGGAGGCTTTTCCCGATGTGATGGCAGAAAGTGCCGTCAAGCTGCAGCCGACTTACAACCACCCCGTAGAGTTTTCCTCGCAATCAAGGCTGGGCCCGCGTGTACCTAAGCGCAGCTGGTGGATTTGCCAAGGATCGTGTGCAGCGATTCCGACCCCAGCTGGCGGTTGTGAGCGGTCAGGATCGTGCCGGCAGGAGCCCCCGTTTCTGCCTCGGCAGGCGATCCGAAGAGCGGCAGGTGGCCGTGCCACACACAGCAGGTGGCACTGGCGTTCCTGGCATCCCTCTAGGGCACGAGACTAACAGCAGCGGTGTGCCATTGCCTGCCTCTGGACTTCCTCGGTGGTCCCCCGTCCAAGGAAACACCAGGGCCGACCCTGCTCAGCTTCCGAGATCTGCGAGATCGGGCTAGGCTGGCCCATCCAGGTCAGGGCAAGAGACAAACGGAGGTGGGTTTGCCGTCGCCTGCCTCTGCGTAGCGACCCTGGGCTTCCTTGGTGGCCTCCCCTCCAAGTACCAACCGGGGCTGACCCTGCTTAGCTTCCAAGGTCTGACGATGTAGTGCTAGCCTGGGCAGAGGTGAACAGAGGTGGTTCGCCCTTGCCTGCCTCTGCGTAGCAACCCTGGACTTCCTCGTTGGTCTCCCATCCAAGTACTAACCAGGGCCGACCCTGCTTAGCTTCCGAGATCTGATGAGATGGGGCTAGCCTGGGTTATCCAGGTCAGAACAGAGACAAACAGAGGTGGTTTGCCATTGCCTGCCTCTGCGTAGCAACCTCGGTCTTCCTTGTAGTATCCCCTCCCAAGTACTAACCAGGGCCGACCCTGCTTAGCTTCCGAGATCTGACGAGATCAAAATAGCCTGGGCCCTCCAGGTCAAGGCAAAAGGCATACAGAGGTGGTCTTGCCCTTGCCTGCCTCTGCATAGCGACCCTGGACTTCCTTGGTGGTCTCCCATCCAAACACCAATCGGGGCTGACCCTGCTTAAGCTGCTGAGATCTGACGAGATCAGGCTTGCATGGGCCCTCCAGTTCGGGGCGGCCGTCCCCATACCAACAACAGCAAAATAATGCTGCGACCATTCCCACATTACGGAAGAGACCGGTCCGCGCAATCAAGGCTGGGCCCGCATGTACCTAAGCGCAGCCGGTGGATTTGCCGAGGATCGCGTGCAGCGATTCCGGCCCCAGCTGGCGGTTGTG